TGGTGCTGACAAGCAATTGTCCTTTTAAATATATCTGTGAATATCAATGAATCAATGACCGAATAAACGTAACAACCCTTTAATACAAATACAAAGACAGGCAACCTTTCACAGTCTGTTACAAAAACCTAAAAGTATGCTGTGGAAAATCTTGTTTAGGAAAACCCCTCCAGTCACTCTTTGGTGACCTCTGGTTTCAGTGACGACAAAGATCACTTAGCAGTAAAAAGGTGCAGCAGCCCTAACTGCTTCCTTCAGACTGCAAAGATATTAATCTAAGGGAAAAAACCCACTCAACCTTCCTTGTACAACTTTCTGAAATTGCAAATAGGTTTGATGGTTCAGTGCAATGCGTCCACTGAAGAACCACATAAACGGCACAGCTGTGTTGGTATTCTGAATCAATGTGAATACATGTATTAAAATTGATCATCAAATCATGCTTTATTTTATAATGTTTACTAATTGGCTAATAACTGCTTTGTATATTAGCCAATTAGTATTTATGAACATTACACAGATAGCTTAATAAAGCCACAACTGTCATTTATGAATCCATATGAGAATAAATAATTTGTAATGCATATATAAGCATTATTATGATGACTAGTATGACGCTAAACCTTATGTTAATAACATAACATAACACCTTGTCTGTGTTTGTGAGATGCCAGGAATGATCATTGATCAGTAAAAGCATGAATGTACTACAAAATATCCATAGTTACAACACCATGGTATATACAACATATGCCATTTAAACAATCTTTATTACACAAACTAATAAAAATATAATTGTTAGTGATATTAATTATCTGTATCTTTAATTAAACATTATAGATATTAAATGACCTTTTACAAAAAAGGGTTACACAAAAGTGAAAGATTCAAAGGGCGACTTAAATATGTTAATCCTAATAAAAGCATATTTACTCTTTATCGGAAACATGAAACGATGCAAGTGTGATGAACTACACTCATAAATCATGCCTGATTTTGACTAAACTATCTACACAGGCACATCTTCAACCAATATCAGTCCCGCATTGCTAAATTATTAAGTTATAAGTTAAGTTATGTGGGTAAGTGATCGAGTTAGCACAGCTGAAAACTGTCATGTTAAGTAACGACGTCATTATAGTTTCAAAAATATTCCTTAAAAATAAAAGAAAGAACCTTCTTCTGAAACTTGTCTGGTTATGTTTGTTCTAAGCGATGATGTCATACGTACAGCAGTGTGTAACTACTTCCTTTCACAAACCAGCACATTCGTGCACAAACAGTGAAGCAGTCAGCTGAGGATCTGTGAGGTGTTTGTTTAGCTCAAACTACAGTTTTTGGTTCACTCATCTTCTCAGTTCTGGTCTCCTACTTCTCTTTCTGTTCTTTTTGTTTCAGTTTCTCTTCGACTGTGAAGGGAATATTTCATAAGGTTGTTCTTTTTACACTATAAGGAAACTTCAAACTTGCAGCAGTGAGAGTTATGTACACACTGGCAAATGTTTTTGCTGAAGTGCTTAAAAAATTACATGAAGAGTTTTACTTTGTCTAATGATGCTTTTCCAGACAAGACTTAGTACTCAAGATCCTTTGAGAGCTGCTGACACATTTAGTGAGTCTGATGTTACCAGGCACTCATTTTCTGTAAACATGGCTCACTTTCCCTCTAAGTGTCACACTGACTCTTTGTCCCTGTTTGGGTGCTTTGGGCAGAGTGGGTGGTGCTGTTTCCTTTTCTCTCCATTTTGTGGTCTCTTGTCGCCCCCTAGCAGCTGCTGCTCATTATTACAGCGGTGGATGAGCACAGGGTTTTTGTTTTCAGACGTCTTCTGTAACAGCAGCCTCTGCAGCATCTGTTTGTCCGACCGCTCCCTTCTGAAGTCATCCTCATATATCTTAAGCTGATGAGAAAAACACACGAGATTCCAGTGACAAACACATCTTTAAGACAGCTGAAAGGGGTTTAATCCGTATATTTTTTTATTTGGAGCAGCTGTGGATTAATCATATATGCCTACTACAATATGTTTAAACATATTACATAAACAAAAATATGGCATTAAAGTCTCTAGTTTGACACTATAACCCAAAAGAAATAACCAGTCACTGCATGAATTTTCTGTTGCTTCACATTTATTTTGCAAGGTTTGCATCAAGATCAGATAGCAGGCAGGTTTCATAATCTTTGCTTAAGGGATTTAAGTATGAATGTGGGTGTGTTCGCCTGTGTGAGTGTGTACTCTTGTGCATAGACAAAAACACTACCTGTTCTTGCAGTAGTGCCACCTGTTGGCGCATCTCCTCTCTCTTCTTCCTCAGCCTTCGGTTCTCCTGCAGCGTGTGCTTGTGGTCGTTGTGCTCTGTCTGATATTCTGCCTCATATATCTCAGTCTGCTGACACAAGACAAAAACACGGCAGCGAGCCATCGTTAAAGCCGTATCTTGCAATCTGCGGACACTTATTATTATGAATGTCTGCGCGGCACAGAGCCACCACTTGGTGGTGCCCTTCACCACTTCATTGAAGTCTCTTTCAGCATTAAGCAAATCTTTCCCTGGCAACAGTGAGTCGACATCAATTCTGCTCTCCTCTCAATAGAAACAGACACATTTCTGGAAGCTGTGCAGAAGAGAGCAGCCCACCTGACATCTCAGTGCCTCCAGCTGCTCTTTTAAATCATGCACTTCTTGCTTGGAGTTTTCCAGCACTCCCAGTGGGGAACTGCTGGCCTGGCCTTTTCGCTGATACTCAGCCTCTGGGCTGGTAGAAGCTGGGAAAAAGGAGGGTGAAGGGTTTTGCGCAGAGCCGCAAGAGAAGTCAGGATGACTTCCGGGGCCCAGAGCTGGACCTCGCATCACAGTAGTAAAGCTTCCCTTTGATGGAAAAAAAAAAAGACAAAGAGATGAGCAACACTGTGATCACACAGCTGAAAAAAAAGAAAAGAAAATGCACGATGTGATCAGGTAGAGGTGAGACCCTCTGAAAGGAGCAATACCGGTTTGGCAGGTGTGAAGTCTCTCCCTGGGTGGTGCAACCTGCTCTCCAGCAGCCTGATATATTCTTGCAGCTCTTGGTTCTTCTTTAGCTCCTGCATCAATGCTTGCTCATAGTACTCCTTTGCACTCTGCAATCCCAAATATAGCAATAAATATCACACATGCAAACCACATCTATTATCGATGGCTATTTAAAACAGCCGCAAGATAACTGTTTAGGAATCCCCTCGTCTGCGACACCCACTTCTCAGTATATAAGCAAATGCCCGGAATAAGTCGTGCGGTGGTGCGTTAGCGCTTAAAGTATTGTTGCATTTACCTGCTGATGTTCAACTTTGAGGAGCAGTCTGTTGTTTAGCTGTTTAATTGCGCTGTTCTCCAGCTCCAAAGCCTCCAGCCTGTGCTGTAGACGCAGCGTGGCACTGCGGTACACCTGGTCCCAGTCCTCGTTCAGCTTCATCAGCTGTGACACATCATCATGACCATCATCATCACACAACAGTCATTACTGCCAAGGCCTCCACTGCAGTAATCAATAGCTTCGTTCATTTAATCTTTACTGCCGTCACTCTGTCTGTCGTCACAACAATGCTGGCATCACAAACTGAAGCCGGG